GATTTCAAAAACGTTTATTCGGCACACAGGCTGTGTCAGCTGATTTGTATCAACAGTTTCATTATATTTTGTTTTTTTTCTGTTTAAATTCAATGGGGTTGATGTGGAGGAAGGACCAGTGTTTGAGCTTCCCAGAAAGTTGTGCATTTTGGTATGTGAGTAGGAAGACAATAGCTGTCCAGTCTCCTCCAATGCAACGACTGCCTATTGGTAATGTCTGTCAACACGTAATTCGCCCGCCACCCTGTTCTGTGCTGTGGTGGGAAACACTAACTTAATGGGCCAGCCTTGTTTACATGCGTTACCTATCTTTTATCGTGGCCTTGGAGGAGACCGCTGTTGCTTTGTAAGTCATGACAAATGAAACTTCAAATTTCATGAAACTCACCTATACACTTTCCTTCCCCCTTGGTACCCCCAACAGTGCATGAAAACTTTAAGTAATCAATTTTTCTGTCCATGTTGTTGCCCCCCTTTATTATATACATATTAAAACACATTAACCACAGGCCCTTTTAATGTTGCTGAAAAACTTGCGTTGCCCTGATAAATATTATTCATTGCAGCAAGCTTGTTGTAATAATTAGGACAGTTTGACAAAATAATCCGATAACTGCTCATTCTTAGAAGTTTGCTCGCAAGAGTAACATACCGGTATATCCCTCGCTATTTACTTAGCCACATAGAAAACTGCTAATATCAACAAAACAGTCGGGGAAAAAAATCATGGTGGCGAACAATGTCCACTTCAGTTAACCCCAAAACGCGACATTATACCTTGCAAACGCGAGTCAACAGTATCAGTAATTAATCGACAGAATTACAAGCGGACACTCCAAAATAAATAAACGAGCCCTTGCGTCGCCGAGTGACAGCTAAACTTCCGATCTACCAAAAACGCCACAGTACAGGGTGGCGGGCGAATTACGTGTTGACAGACATTACCAATAGGCAGTCGTTGCATTGGAAGAGACTGGACAGCTGTTGCCTTCCTGCTAACATACAAAAATGCACAACTTTCTGGGAAGCACAAACATTAGTCCTTCCTCCCTATCAACCTCATTAAATTTAAACTGACAAAAGCAAAATGTTATCTGCGTGCTGGCAAAACGATGTGTCAGAAACTGTTGATACATTAAATCAGCTGACACAGCCTGTGGGCCGATTAAACTTTTTTGAAATC